CAGTACTAATTATTTTACAATTAGCCGAGAGCTGGTTTTAGGAATAAAATATACCTAAGCAAATCACTCCGATTGAAATGTAATTAATTTAAAATATTCAGGAAGAAGGTCATAATTTCATATTTGGATTTAATTATTTTGAAAAACGAATACCAATAATACCAACTTACTAAAAAAACTACCTACGACATTATTACCAACTCACGCGCGCCTGAAAAATAGTTTCAGGTTTTTCACGAATTCAGTAAAAGTATTTGCAATGATTACAGAGTTTCTAGGAATCTGTCGTCTCGGCTCTAGTCACGCTTTCCAGTTCAGTCTAGTTTAAACTAACAAGACGGCCAATCGAAAGTATTATCTTGTTTTAATTCAAAGATCATGCTTTTAATAATTATCACCAATTGATACATTAGTAAAGTCAAACATTTGCATAATGCTCCATGCATTAAAAACACTGTGTGCTTACCATGAGCTTACGTTAGGTGTGCTCGCTAGCGACTGCGTAAAAAATTACATTAAATGTATGACATATTGTGCAGCGCCCCTAGCGGCTTCTTTCAAGATATAAAATCTTCATAGATTTTTTGACGTACCTACTCGCTAGCGAGCACACCTAACGTAAACTCATGGTAAGCACACTGTTCTGCTAAACTTTTGAACATATATTTCGAATGGGTCGACATTTGACATGGTCATCATGATCATCTTTGATAACAAGTTGATTCTAGACTGCAATGTCCTAACTAAAAACACAAAACGTTTCCTCTATGTGCCCCTCTCAATGTCATATTTTTCCATCGCATAAGTGCCGATACATAGTAAAATAAAAACAGAGCCTCGAATAATTAGAAATAATGTCTGGTAGAACCCCCGACGTAGCGGATCCATAATTTCAAGAGAACCATACTTTTTAACCACTAGACTACGCAAAAGCATGTTAGAGGTTACTGCTTTCGAAACGCCACTGCGAAAGTGATTGCATCTTTCTAGACTAGACTCAGCCCGTATTAAAAAAGGCAGAGTAAGAAAAACATAAAAATGTTCTTGACGCAATATCTCGATGACTAATTCCGATTTGGTGTAGAAGACCTAGTTAGGAATAGGCATTTCATGAAAATATCTATCAATCTATATATCTATATATATATATAAAAGAAAGTCGTGTTAGTTACTCCACTTATAACTCAAGAACGGATGAACCGATTTAGCTGAAAATTGTCAGGGAGGTAGTTTAGAGCCAGGAGAAGGACATAGGATACTTTTTATCCCGTTCGAAATTAAAAAAAAAGTCTGCTTATTTATTGCCATTAAGGCGGAACAAAGTTCGCCGGGTCAGCTAGTATTGAAATAACTGTGAGTGAGATGTTGAATTTAGTAAATTGATTTTCTAGACTCTATTTGAGTACCATGGAATTAGTCTAGAATTTTCTATTTGTTGCTGTTATTGGGAAAGCCTTACTAAATTCATAACTTCAATGAACCAAATATTGGATCATAAGTACGAATACAATAGTCTAAATATAGAAAAAAAACCTTGAAAAGCACCTACAATAATAACTCCAGACACGTTATTGTGAGGGTGAATTTTAGTATGGTACATATTTCAGAGATCTTTATTCCAATATAATAAGTAAACACAGCCCTATCAATAACAATAGGATAATGATATTTCCTTCAAAAAGTTTTCTTATCTCATATTGAAAGTCAATTTTGCTCAAATAACTTTTTGGTTTACAAGACGACATAAAATACTGTGATGGAACAAAAAGAGATATAGATAGGGAGCACCTATATGGATAAGTTATTGTTTCAATTGCCGATCACATACTAATAATTTCTCAAGACATTGCAGACAGCATCACTCGACCTCAAAATGACGGATTTTCCCACTTTATTTTGAACTTCATTCTTTATTCAAAAGCATTGGAAAAGTTATTTTCTGGCTGCCTGTTGCAATGTCAACTGTACAATGTCAAAAAAAGACACTAACCTGTATCACCCTCATCGGCAGACCGGTTTCTTTGGCCAGCTGCTCGCGTATATGCCTCGTCGGCTTCGGCGTCTGACTGAACGCCGACTTCAGGATCTCCAGCTGCTTCGCCTTGATGGTGGTCCTCGGCCCCCGCCGCTTGGAGCCTCCGTTGCCATCATCAGGGGACTTGTTCTCAGCCTGCGAGTCTCTGGTCTCTGGGTCTCCGTCCAGCGAGCCCTGGGAGGGAAAGAAAAACAACTGAATGCGACAATGTGGTCGAGCATCGGTTCCGGGGGATTGGGATTGTAGTTTCAAAGTGCTAGAGAGCATAGTTAACTTTAAGGTTGTTTTTGTTTGAATAAAATTCATCAAGTTCACACAATATCTAGAATTAGTCATCTGTGAATTACGAAAATGATATTAATTAGTTGTTGATTTGTATGAAAATATCATGCTAAGACGTTAATCGTCCGAACTCTATTCTTCTACTGAATTTCAATTTCAATCTACAAGAAGATTACAAAGATGAAAATAAAAGAAAGTAAGTCACATCAAGAATCGAAGAATCTTATTTATTTGCCTTGCCTCCGTCACTCCTGAAGTCAATCCGAACGAACGTCCTCTGTGAAATTTCTAGTTCCATGTGTTTTGACCTTGGACCTTAACCTATTTTCTAATTATCCCAAAATGTGAATGGTACAACACAAAATTAATGTAAATCTACCAAACATTGGTGTTTTCGTAAAAGGCCGCACCGAACCGGCCAATCTTATAATCATCAGAGTAAGCCTTCAGCAATGGACGTCCTGTGGCTGAAATGATGATGATGACTCATACAAAACTATAAATCTACCAACCTGGTCCTCCGAGTCCTCATGCGGCTTGGCATCGCCATTATGCGTGATGTCCGAGTGTAGCGCTGGGTGCGGCGCGTGCGCAGGACTACTGGAGTTGTTCGCTGCGCGGGACTCGTCCTCTTCTTCTTCGTCCGACCCTGAGCCAAGGAGGGAGTCCGCTGTGGAAGAAATTATGTTTTAGTGTTTGTTGCTAAAAGTCCTTGTAGTAGTAAAGATAAGGTAACACGCAGAGGCGGCGTTAAGCGTGGGCGATGTGGGCCACCGCCTACGGCCTCGCGGTACAAGGGGCCTCGCGACTCAAAAATGTTTAAAGCGAGAATAAAACAAAAATAAGCCGTAATGGGTGCGACTCTGGATGGGTGTGACTCTGCAAAGTATATTANCAACTACAGTCTGCAAATCAGACATATTGCTATGAGTTCGGTAAAATTCTTTGACAATTTTCAAAATTCGGTCAGATCAAACGCTACGCGGAAAATGTCTGATATTGGTATTTTCGAGTTCAGGATAATCGTATCTATCGATTTGATGCGGTTTTGGCCGTATTGCTATGAGACAAAAATTTTGGTCGTGGGCTCTCGTACTATTAGTTCAGTGTTTTTTTTTACTTTTAGACCTTAAAATCATTCTAAATCGCCAAATAAATGTGGTGGTGCATGGTAAATCTTTCTAATTTCATTTGTCCATTCATAAAAGGTCGCTACTAACCGGCCAATCTGGAAACCATAGACCACGTGCAATGGACGTCCTAAGCTGAAATAACGAAGATGATGATGATTCATACAAAACTATAAATCTACCAACCTCTCGAAAGCATTTCACAGAGGTCTATGTTCATCAGTGGCTTAAATAATGATGATGATGTAGCATACAAAACTATAAATCTACCAACCTGGTCCTCCGAGTCCTCATGCGGCTTGGCGTCGCCATTATGCGTGATGTCCGAGTGTAAGGCTGGGTGCGGCGCGTGCGCAGGACTACTGGAGTTGTTCGCTGCGCGGGACTCGTCTTCTTCTTCTTCGTCCGACCCTGAGCCAAGGAGGGAGTCCGCTGTGGAAGAAATTATGTTTTAGTGTTTGTTGCTAAAAGTCCCTGTAGTAGTAAAGATAAGGTAACACGTAACGTAAGAGAGCTTTCAAGGCATGTATATGTTTGAACCGTATCTTAACTCTCGTTTTAACGTAATAAAAACACACTCCCGCACCGCTCCACTACAGACTGATGGATCCTAGTTTGGCACTATTTTATTGTGTGTTTGTTGCTAACACCTTCCGACGATATCATAAAGTTAGCAGGAAAGCGCTGGATGCAGGCCGCTACCAACCGGGTAACATGGAAAGCATTGCGCATTGGGGGAGGCCTATGTTCAGCAGTGGACGTCCTATGGCTGAGATGATGATGATGATAATTGTTGCTAAGGTATAAGTAGTGGTTACTGAGTAAGTTCTTGTGGTAGTAGTGTGGGAGGGGTGACATGTAACGTAGGTAACAGAGCAGAATCATGCACTGTTTTTCTACCTTAGGAACCTAGTTATGCACTGTAGAGGTTTCATTAATTTTTGTAGCTAAGATACATACGAACTTTTAAAGTTCGTTAGCTATTGAAAAGACTTAAGTCAACCAAATCATCATCACATCTTTTCCAAGTACAAAGAAGTTAACATTCGCGTCATATTCCGCCAGTATAATTTTTCCATACTATCAAATTAAAAACTACTTTAAAAAGTAATAAATGTGATCGGAACTTTAATAACCCTTTAAAAAGACCGAAACTGACTTATCAAAAAGCAATCGCGCGACCCCACGGATGGTTTAACCAAATAAAAATGCAATTCCCGACCCTCCTGAGGAGGAATTAGCCGCAAAAACAATTACTTTGAGGGAGGGAGAGGGACCTTGGGCCTGGTCCTCGGTCTTTGAGGTGTTGCTACAAACGTAGGTATTTAAAAGATTTAAAAGCCAACATCTATTTTTTTCTTCCGTTGTGTTGGGGATTTATACTTGAGTTTTGAAAACTTCAGGGAAACCATACTCATCTTCCTTTATTTCTTTTCCACGAATTCTCGAAAGCTTTTGTTATTTTTTTTTACCAGAAAAGTTTTAATGCCATGATTATAACTTCCTCATTCTTCAGATATCAGATGTATTTGGGTTAGTTCTCGGATCTGAGATGTACCTAAATTTAGGTAAGAGAACATCTAGTTAGGTGGATCTAATCAACCCAAGAATTAAGATATTTAGGGGCTGTTGGCGGTGTAACATCGTTTGACGGTTTTGATGATACCTACTTAGATAAAGATAGTTTTCTGAATAGTGAAGTATGTAAAGGACAAAATGTAAGAAAAGTAAACAAATATTTCTGGTGATCTGTCAGTAACAACGATACTTTATGAAACTACTTATGTATTATTTATTTGCACAAAACCAAACAAAGTCGCTCGTCACCGTACTATCTGCGTGCGTTACCACCGCACCGTGTAATGAATTTTTAAGCACACCGTACATCTGATCACAATCTCTAGAGCAGGGATGGTGAACCAATGGTATGTGTTGCCACAATATTTTGGATACGCTACTGATCTCAAAGTTCACTACGAAATACTTAGGCTCAGTTGCATCACCTTAACTTTAAACGTACCTATAACTATAACCGATATTTTTGTATGAAGTTTGACAGAGTTTTGACCCAGGTTTACATTTTTTTTAGGATTCGGGCTTCAACCAGCATCCTTAACCACAGACTATTTTCTCCACCACTTGGCTATTTTCTCCAACTGCTAAAAATCATTAATGCTGTTATGGCGACAAACTTATGTAAAACAGTGGTAGCAGCTAGACAGAAATCCAATGAGTTCTACCACTAACCAAACTGAGCAGAAGATTTTGCACTGAGTATCAAACCCGGGACCTCTTTGTCTGAGACAGAGGCAGTTGAATTAAAAATTATGAACGAAAGTTTTTTTTGTAGTAAATAAAGTGTTTTGATTGGCTAGTATTAAGTACCTGCTTTTATTATTTTACTATTAATGAATTCTTCTATTTTTTAAACTGACTCGTTGATCCACAAAGGTTCGCCATCCCTGCTCTAGGGTCATACAGTTTGCTCCGCAAACAGAGGGAGCTGTGACCGGAGGACGTGTTGTTGTGCCAGTGATACGAACCATCCACTTATAACGGAAAAACGATTGTGGTTGTTTGGAAATAAGTGGATATTGTTAATATTGATACTTTGTGCACAAGGAAAAACTAAGAGGGTTGATAGGACTACGGTATTTAGGTACTCTATTGAAAGACTCTACAGAAAAGAATAGTAATTGTCACATTATGTCAAATGAAGTTAAAAATTGAAACTTTGAACTTAGAGCTCTCTGCTGTTTTTCTGTCAACTCTAATTAATTACCTTCCTACTTATCCATATCATTAAAGATACATGAAATTTAGCCTTGAGGAGTTACTTTATCAACATTTATTTAATATAGGACAATTTACATAAAGAAAAGTAATCGTACCTAATACCTTGTTGTATGCAAAAAAAAACATCCAATATATTTGCAGAAACTCAGTGCATAAGAAAAATCAATCGATTACATAGAAAAATAAACACGTCTGCACTTTCGTTACGACTTTATTTTGATATCCAATCTTCGTTAAAACGTCGTTGTGCGCCTGCGGGTCTATTAGGGCATGAACACAACATCTGTCGGGACGATCGTCTGTGACTACACGAACGTAAACATCCAGTAATTGAGATGCGTATCGAGTGTATATAGAGAGCTTTATATCAGTTTTGCTTTTATTTTTTTCATATGCAAAGTTTTATATGTTTTTTTAAATTGTACCTATTCGTTTTCTGTTTTATACATCTACTAATCTTTCATATTACAAAAAAAGGTTTATATTGACGACTTCTTATTTTCCTTCGAGGCTACAAAAAGGTATCTCGTACTACGTATTTTGATCAAAAGACCCTACACTTTTTCCCTCAAAATGACTTGCACTCGACGAAACGCAAGTCACGGCTGCCGGAAAAGTCGCTGCGATTAATATAAGTCAAGTCGGCGGCTTTATTTGGAGGTAATTATTAAAGTAATTTTGGAAGTTATGGTGTAGAACTTTTTTGTGGGGTTCTAGAGCACGACGGTGTATTGTTTCTGTTTTTGTAATGTCGATGTACCCTGATGTTCGAGGAATTTCTTTACCTACAGTTAGCTTAAACCAGTGGCATGCATCACTTGAATTTTCAGGTGAACAGTATTTAATGTCGACTGTATAACGGGCTATAGATTTTGCTACATGTACGTACAGATACCTAACAGTACCTATTTATATCCACATCGTTCGTTCGTTTCAGCCGAAAGACGTCCACTTCTGGACAAAGGCCTCCCCCAAGGATTTCCACAAAGACCGGTCCTGCGCCGCTCGCATCCAGGAACCTCCCGCGACCTTCACCAGATCGTCGGTCCACCTAGTGGGAGGCCTGCCCACGCTACGTCTTCCGGCTCGTGGTCGCCACTCAAGAACTTTCCTGCCCCAGCGGCCATCAGCTCTTCGAGCAATGTGCCCCGCCCACTGCCACTTGATTTTAGCGATTCTGCGGGCTATGTCAGTCACTCTAATTCTCCTACGGATCCCANGACAGACAGACAGAGTTACTTTCGCATTTATAATATTAGTTGGGATGGATGTGATTCTGGTCTGGTGGCATCTTGCCTAATGGCAAATCGCAAAAACTTCCCGATTAATCGGGACTATACGATGTTTACAGTTGATTTTCCAGAATATCGCAAATTCTTTGATACATAACGTTTGTACTGCCGGAATTCATTCTCCTCTGGAATGTCCCCAAAATTCCATTATTTTTGCCGTATCACTTACCGTTTTCGACATATCTGCGTGTGCAAATGACCTGCGCGTATCGATACGATTAATATTATAGGGAGTCCTTCGTACTTACATATGAACCTCAAGATGTATTTAACTCAAAAACATTTTACGAAACTATTGAATAAATAATTATAATTGATTTTTTGCAATATTGCAAATATCATAGGACTCATTGTTAGTACTGCTAAAGTTCATCACCCCTTCAGGAAACCCCCAAGATTTTGTGATACGTCAACTGGTACAATAGTCGAACATTTTATGGGATTTCTAGCTGTTACTCAGACAACTGGAGAACATTTAGCCAATGCTATACTGTAACACCTAGAAAAATATGACTTAAATATTGAAGACTGCCGTGGCCAGGGATACGACAATGGTGCAAATATGGTAGGTGTAAATAGTGGAGTTAAAACTCGAATATTGAATATTAACCCTAGGGCATTTTTCACACCTTGTGGCTGTCATAGTTGGAATCTACTATTGGTAGATGCAGCGAACTCATCTATGGTAGCAAAAACTTTTTTTGGTTTCATACAAAAAATGTATTTACTATTTTCAAGTTCAAGCAAGCGCTGGGATTTTATAAAAGGAAAATTAAAACTTACTAACTATAAAACCTTTATCAGACACAAGATGGGAAAGTAGAGTCGAAGCAGTAAAGGCCGTATTATTGCAATTTGATGAAGTGATTGAATGCATAAAAAACTTAAAAAATCAAACGGAGCACTCAGACACTCTCAGTGATTGCGATTCAATACTAAATGAAATGTTAAGTTTAGAATTTATCGTATCTTTACATGTGTGGTTGAGATATTATTGCGTGTTAATATAATAAGTAAATTATGGCAATCAGTACAAATTCATTTAAGCATTGCTCTTGAACATTTACACACATTTTGTGAATGGATAAAAGAGTATCGGGAAACTGGATTTGAGAAATCCCTGTCTGATGTTCGGAAATTTACTGAGAAAAGCTGTTATGACCTGCCAAAAGAGTCGCCAAAAAGAAAAGGATGTTCGATTATGAAAGCAGCGATGAACCTATACAGTCTCCCAAAATCCGGTATCAAACAGATTTTTTTTACGCCATGATTGATTCTATAATAACCAATATAGAATTAAGATTTACGTCTTTAAATCAACATTTTGAAGACTTTGGTTTTCTC